TCTGTTATTTTCCTCTATTTCTTTACATTGTTCATTTAAGAAGGCCCTCTTGTCTCTCCTTGCTATTCTTTGGAAGTCTGCATTCAATTTTCTGTAACTTTCCCTGTCTCCCTTACATTTTGTTTCCCTTCTCTTCTCTGCTATTTCTAAGGCCTCGTTGAACAGCCACTTTGCTTTCTTGCATTTCCTTTTCTTTGGGATGGTTTTTGTTGCTGCCTCCTGTACAAGCCTCTATCCAAAGGTCTTCAGGCACTCTGTCCACCAAATCTAGTTCCTTAAATCTGTTCTTCATTTCCACTGTGTATTCATAACGGATTTGATTTAGATTATACCTGAGTAGCTTTCCTACTCTCTTCAGTTTAAGCTTGAATTTTGCTATGAGAAGCTGATGATTAGAGCCACAATCAGCTCCAGGTCTTGTTTTTGCTGACTGTATAGAGCTTCTCCATTTTGGCTGCAGAGAATATAATCAATCTGATTTCGATATTGCCCATCTGGTGAATTCCATGTATAGAGTCGACTCTTGTGTTGTTGGAAAAGAGTGTTTGTGATGACCAGCTTGTTCTCTTGACAAAACTCTATTAGCCTTTGCCCTGCTTCGTTCTGAACTCCAAGGCCACACTTCCCTGTTGTTCCTTTTATCTCTTGACTCCCTCCTTTAGTATTCCAGTCCCCTAGAATGAAAAGAACATCTTTCTTTGGTGTCAGTTCTAGAAGGTGTTGTAAATCTTCATAAAATTGTTCAATTTCAGTCTCTTCAGCAATGGTGGTTGGTGCATAAACTTGGATTATTGTCATGTTGAAAGGTCTACCTTGGATTCGTTGTGAAGGTTCCCTTGTACCGGCTTCCCTTTGTTTCAATAAATCACGGGACTCATGAACTTCAAACGGGTTTGTTGTTTTTTTTAACTCCTTCTGGATGCTAGGGGTACCCCCCCCACCGCAGTATCCTCTGTCTGTCCTTTCCAGCCTTTCCGAGTCAAAAATGGGGTGAGCAAAATTTCCCCAAGAAAGCTATCGGCCAGGGTCCCTCACTGGGATTTTTTCCTTGGGAGTCCGTGAAGCCAATTCCCCACTATGGCACACATCATCTCAATTACACCAGATCAAAACCTTGACGGAATTGGGGCCAGTGTGTTCTCTTCCCCTCCCCCCTCAATTCTCTACACAGGCACTCAGGTTTCATGCCACAGCATAGCCGTGGATGGGCAGCAGAGTTTCTCATCGTGGAGGGTGTTTTGGCCTCCCTCCCAGTCTTTCCATGTCTCTTCCCTCCTCTGGTGCCCTTTGAACAGCCCCTGTGGCCGATTCAGTTCCTTCCTTTAGCTCTCCGCTTACTCACCTGGTCCAGAAAGGATGAAGGGAAACCGAGCTAAGCAGAGAACATCAAAAGGGAGTCCTGGGGTGCCACCAACTCTGGCATCGATTTATCATTAATTCCATTTATATTGTTTCTGTGCCCTGTTTCTGCAATAAATGTAAAGGCTCGAGACAGTTCAGAATAATAAATGGTTAAGTGTGTTTTTTCATGCAAGAGCTGATGCTGTATTTTCTTCCACAGTGAAGCTTTTCTCCTCCTCTGGAGTCTGGGACAGCCTAACCTTTGGCCTTAGAGTCGCTTTGGTTAATTGATTAATTGTCCCTAAAAGGACAATTTGGAACAGAGGCATTCAAGGCAGGGAATCCTGAGGCCAGCCTAACCTTTCCTCTTCCTTCCTCCCTCCTTCCTTCTCTCCTTTGTTCCTTCCTTCCTTCTATCCATCCTTCCTCCCTCCCACACATCCTTCCTTCCTTCCTTCCTTCCTTCCTTCCTTCCTTCCTTCCTTCCTT